CGCAGGTGTGGAACTTGTCTTTCTTAGCAACAGGCATCCCAAGGCCACATCCATGGCTTTTTATGGGCGTCCAAGCTTGCCGTTTGCCAGCCTTAAAACGCTCCAAACCGCTACAACCCCTCCAAGTCCACTTCCATGGCTTCTTATGGGCTTCCAGCGCAGGCAAAAGCTACCCCAAGGCCAGATCCATTGCTGTTTCTGGGCGGTCCAGCGTGCCGTTCGCCAGGCATTCGCAGCCAACGGGCATCCGAAGGCCACTTCAATGGCTTCTTCTGGGCTTCCAGCGGCTTCCAAGCTTGCCGTTTGCCAAGCCTAAAACCCTCCAAACCTCTAAAACCCCTAAAAGGCCACTTCAATGGCTTCTTATGGGCTTCCAGCGCACGCAAAAGCCCACATCCATGGCTTTTTATGGGCGTCCAAGCTTGCCAAACCCCTAAAAGGCCACTTCCATGGCTTCTTATGGGCTTCCAGCGCAGGCAAAAGCCCACATCCATGGCTTTTTATGGGCGTCCAAGCTTGCCGTTTGCCAGGCCTAAAACCCTCCAAACCCTCCAAACCCCTAAAAGGCCACTTCAATGGCTTCTTATAGGCTTCCAGCGCCCACATCCATGGCTTTTTATGGGCGTCCAAGCTTGCCGTTTGCCAGGCCTAAAACGCTCCAAACCCCAAACCCCTAAAACCCCTAAAAGGCCACTTCAATGGCTTCTTCTGGGCTTCCAGCGCAGGCAAAAGCCCACCTCCATAACTTTTTCTGGGCGTCCAAGCTTGCCGTTTGCCAGGCCTAGAACCCTCCATATGGGCTTCCAGCGCAGGCAAAAGCCCACATCCATCACTTTTTATGGGCGTCCAAGCTTGCCGTTTGCCAGGCCTAGAACCCTCCAAACCCTCCAAACCCCTCTAAAACCCCTAAAGGCCACTTCAATGGCTCTTATAGCTCCAGCGCCCACTCCCTGGCTTTTTATGGGCGTTGCCAAAACGCTCCAAACCCTCCAAACCCCTAAAACCCCTAAAAGGCCACTTCGATGGCTTCTTATGGGCTTCCAGCGCAGGCAAACGCCCACCTCCATGGCTTTTTATGGGCGTCCAAGCTTGCCGTTTGCCAGGCCTAAAACCCTCCAAACACCTAAAACCCCTACAAGGCCACTTCAATGGCTTCTTCTGGGCTTCCAGCGCAGGCAAACGCCCACATCCATAGCTTTTTCTGGGCGTCCAAGCTTGCCGTTTGCCAGGCCTAAAACCCTCCAAACCCTCCAAACCCCTAAAACCCCTAAAAGGCCACTTCAATGGCTTCTTATGGGCTTCCAGCGCAGGCAAAAGCCCACATCCATGGCTTTTTATGGGCGTCCAAGCTTGCCGTTTGCCAGGCCTAGAACCCTCCAAACCCGTAAAACCCCTAAAAGGCCACTTCAATGGCTTCTTATGGGCTTCCAGCGCAGGCAAAAGCCCACATCCATGGCTTTTTATGGGCGTCCAAGATTGCCGTTTGCCAGGCCTAAAACGCTCCAAACCCTCCAAACCCCTAAAACCCCTAAAAGGCCACTTCAATGGCTTCTTATGGGCTTCCAGTGCAGGCAAAAGCCCACATCCATGGCTTTTTATGGGCGTCCAAGCTTGCCGTTTGCCAGGCCTAAAACCCTCCAAACACCTAAAACCCCTACAAGGCCACTTCAATGGCTTCTTCTGGGCTTCCAGCGCAGGCAAACGCCCACATCCATAGCTTTTTCTGGGCGTCCAAGCTTGCCGTTTGCCAGGCCTAAAACCCTCCAAACCCTCCAAACCCCTAAAACCCCTAAAAGGCCACTTCAATGGCTTCTTATGGGCTTCCAGCGCAGGCAAAAGCCCACATCCATGGCTTTTTATGGGCGTCCAAGCTTGCCGTTTGCCAGGCCTAGAACCCTCCAAACCCGTAAAACCCCTAAAAGGCCACTTCAATGGCTTCTTATGGGCTTCCAGCGCAGGCAAAAGCCCACATCCATGGCTTTTTATGGGCGTCCAAGATTGCCGTTTGCCAGGCCTAAAACGCTCCAAACCCTCCAAACCCCTAAAACCCCTAAAAGGCCACTTCAATGGCTTCTTATGGGCTTCCAGTGCAGGCAAAAGCCCACATCCATGGCTTTTTATGGGCGTCCAAGCTTGCCGTTTGCGACGCCTAAAACCCTCCAAACCCCTAAAACCCCTAAAACCCTAAAACCCCTAAAAGGCCACTTCGGCGGTCCAGCGTGCCATTGGCCAGGCATTCGCAACCAACAGGCATCAGGCATCAGGCGTTCAAGCCTGCCGTTTACGACTTTTTTCCTTCACAACGCCGTCCTTGACAGAAAACTTGTTCCCACACACCGTTCGATGGTCAATTTGCCCTGTCTTCACGTCACTGGCCACATTCCCTTTGCAAGCGGGGCAAACGTACACATACGCTTTTTCCTTCACAACGCCATCCTTCACAGAAAACTTGTTCCCACACACCGTTCGATGGTCGATTTGCCCTGTCTTCACGTCACTGGCCACATTCCCTTTGCAAGCGGGGCAAACGTAAACATACGCTTTTTCCTGCACAACGCCATCCTGCACAGAAAACTGCTTCCCACACACTGTTCGATGGTCTATTTTCCCTGTCTTCACGTCGCTGGCCACATTCCCTTTGCAAGCGGGGCAAACGTAAACATACGCTTTTTCCTGCACAACGCCATCCTTCACAGAAAACTGCTTCCCACACACTGTTCGATGGTTTATTTTCCCTGTCTTCACGTCACTGGCCACATTCCCTTTGCACGCGGGGCAAACGTACACATACAAAACAAAGCCCTTGCAACATCATGCACCACTCCCCTTCATCATCACTTCCCTTCTTCACCACTTCCCTTCGTCACCACTTCCCTTCGTCACCACTTCCCTTCCTCACCACTTCCCTTCGTCACCACTCCCCTTCATCCTCACTTCCCTTCTTCACCGCTTCCCTTCGTCACCACTTCCCTTCGTCACCACTTCCCTTCCTCACCACTTCCCTTCGTCATCACTCCCCTTCATCCTCACTTCCCTTCTTCACCGCTTCCCTTCGTCACCACTTCCCTTCTTCACCACTTCCCTTCCTCACCACTTCCCTTCGTCACCACTCCCCTTCATCATCACTTCCCTTCTTCACCACTTCCCTTCGTCACCACTTCCCTTGCTCACCACTTCCCTTCTTAACCACTTCCCTTCCTCACCCTTTCCCTTCTTCATCACTTCCCTTCTTCACCACTTCCCTTCCTCATCACTTCCCATCGTCAGCAATTCCATCGCTTCTCACTTCCCTTCCTCATCACTTCCCATCGCCACCACTTCCCTTCCTCACCACTTCCCATCGTCACCACTTCCCTTCCTCACCACTTCCCTTCGTCACCACTTCCCATCGTCACCACTTCCCTTCGTCACCACTT